ATGCCACGTGGCAATCTCAGGAGAGCTGTTTCTCTCAAAAAGTTGTTATTTTTCGGGTATTACGGGCGGACACGACCCGTTTCTACCATGTGGCATCATTTAGAGGTGCTTCATCAAAAATGTTTTTTTTTTTGGGTACATGGGTCGATCTGACCCATTTATACCACTTGACAATCTCGAGAGAGTTGATTCTCTCAAAAATTGTTGTTTAGGGTATATGGGTCGACCCGACCCTTTATGTATTTATATGTGATGGTAGGTGGGTTAATATGGGTGAGGGTGGGCAAGGGTCATATGAATGGGTCAAGTGGGTTAATATGGGTGGGTTATGACCCTTTAACAAGCATTGATGATGGGTCATGGTGGGTTGGTGGGTCAAGATGGGTGGGTTGGTATTCAACCCTTACCCAACCCACCCATTTGCCAGCCCTAGGGTTGAGTAATTTTGTGTGTATGTGTGTGGACTGAAGGAAAAAAAATTATTGTCTACTTAGAAGTGTTATCATGGCTTCTAAAGATTCTGCAACTTTAGGAATCACCACTAATCAAGGTGGGATGAATAGTGGTCATAATTCCTTAAGTTTTCCAATGACCATTACTCCCTTGGATGGTAGAAATTACTTGGCATGGTCTAAGGAGATGTGATTGTATATTATAGCCAAGGGTAAAGTAGGATATATAAATGGAAAAGTAAAGGAACCTAGGGTTGGTACTGCTATATATGGTAAGTGGGACCAAGAGAATTGCATGATTATGTCATGGCTTTTGATATCTTTGTTATCATTTGTCAACCAGAACTTCGTGTGTGCCAAAACAACTAAAGAAATATGGGAACAAGCAAAGGCAACATATTCGGAATAAAGGCATTATACTAGAATTTATCAATTACAAGTAGAATCTTCAACGTGTAAGCAGGGGAGAAATGAGTTTATCAACTTATTATTTTGCTCTTACTTGAGTCTGGAAAGAGTTGGATTACTATCAATTACAAGTAGGACTTAATCCAATGTAAGAACTCATATGGGTATAGATTTTGGACAACAAGGACCTTCCTTCTATCAAAGAAGTGTATGCATTGGTTCAATCTAAGGAAAATAGGAGATCTACTATGAATCCTCATGAGGGGGAGACTATTGCTTTAATAATAAGAGGTAACACAAGTTGAATAAGAAAAAGCAAAAAACAAAAAAGGTAAATGGTAAAGATAAATTATAATGTATTCATTATCAAAAATTTAGACACACCTGTGAGACTTGTTGGGAGTTAAATGGGAAATCAAAATGGGCACAGGAATTAAGTAAGAAATCAACACAAGAACAAAGCAAGAAACCAAATCAGAATATGTTTAGGGACTTAGTATCTCATGAACCTCAAAGTGGTTTTTCTACCATGAATTCTTCTCAGGATTGCCCCCTAGTTTTCATCTCAAGGAGGATATTATTAATTCCTATGTGACCATTTGGAGCAATATATTAGGCTCTCAAACAAGTAGATTCTAAATCCATTCCTTCAACTTCTTTTGCTTCCTCCTCAGGTAACTCAACCTTTGCTTTCCATTATCTACTGATACCCCAAAATTCCTATGGATTATTGATTCTGATGTTTCAAACTATATGACTGGAGGTAAGCCAATCTTTTTCCAATCATACACCTTTCTCTCTAATAGAGATAAAGTGAGGTTGGTTAATGGATCATTATCCTCTACTGTTGGTCAATGATCTATATTTTTGCATTTTGGATTTTCTTTAACAAATGTTTTACATGTCCTAAAGTTGCTTATTAGCTTATTATCCATTAGTTATATTACACATGCTTTGAATTAATTATTTAGTAACATTTCTTCTACATTCTTGTGCTTTTCAAGATTTGGCCTTCGGAAGGACAACTAGTAAAGAGAATATGATCGATAATCTCTATATGCTGGAGAAAAGTTGGTATTGTGGTCTCAAAGTCTTTGAGCCAATCAAGTTACTTTGTGGCACCATTGTTTAAACTATATGTCTTTTAAGTCCTTGAAGTAGTTATTTCCAAAATTATTCAAGTCTGTATTAGTTAATGATTTTTAGTGTTAAGTGTGACAACTAAGTAAGCATTGTAGAACTTCATTTCCTTTACATGATAAATGATCAAATTTTTATTTTTATATTGTGTATTCTGATGTTTGGGGCTCTATTAATATTTCAACTAAGAATGTATACAAATACTTCTCTTTATTGATGACTTCTCTCGATAAACTTGAGTTTATCATATTCATTCACAAGAATTCCTTAAACTTGTAAGAGATTTTCAACAAATGGTCTACATCCAATTCTACACAGATATTAAAGTTTTTCAATCAAACAATGCAAATGAATACTTTTGTGGTGACCTCACAGAATTTTTTACATCATATGGCTCCCTTCACCAAAGCTCCTGTGCCAAAACCTCTCAACAAAATGGTGTCATAGAGAGAAAACAATTTCCATCTTCTAGAAGTTGCTCGGGGTTGTTTTCACAGATGAATGGTCTAAAACGATTTTGAGTGGATGCTATCATGATTGTTGCCTATGCTATCAATTGAATACTATCTTAGATTTTGGAATATAAGTCTCTTCATCATCTCTTCTTTCCTAAGGCCCCAATGTTTCCTATACCTATGTGTGTATTTTATTGTTAGTGCTTCTTTCATGACCTATCTCCTACTTATGGTAAGCTTGATCCCAAGAATATTGTTTATGTTTTCCTTGGTTATCCTCTTTCTTAGAAGGAATATCATTGGTTTGACCCCATTTAAAAAAATATTATGTCTCTATGAATGCCTCTTTCTTTGAAAATGTTCCTTATTTTCTTGTTTTCCTTAGGGATCAACTGGGGGTAAGAAAAAGCAAACACAAGTTTTATTGCCTTTTCCTCCCGACCTTCCTCCATTTCATGTCTTCTATAGATAATATTATATAAGCCAAGGTCAACAAAGTTTAACAGTTATAGAGCAGCTTAAAGTTATGTAACCAATGCCATCGAATTCTTAGGGTTGGATCCCTCACCACATCCAAGGCCATTATTCTAATTGATATCCTTGAAGCTATTGATATTAAAACTTCAAATTGTGATATGAACTTTCTTATGGGAAAAAGAAGGGTGTTAGATCATGCACCACACACCACCCTATAACTCATTTTTAATCTAATGAGAATATTTCATCCTTTTTTCATACTTTAATGTCTACCATTGATGGTATTCTCCTCCCTCATAGTGTTGTAAAGACTATTTATTCTTGAGTAAACAGATGCAATGAAGAGATCGACACCTTACACAAAAATGGCACGTGGGAGTTGATAGATATTCCTAAGGGAAAAGAGCCTATGGGATGCAAATGGGTGTTCTTTGTGAAATATAAGGCATATGTCACAGGGGAGAGATATAATGTTCAACTAGTAGCAAAAGCTTTTACATAGGTATATGGAGTTCACTATGCAAAGACTTTTGTCTGATGGAAAAGATGAATTTTATTCACATTCTTTCTTTAGCAATAAATATAGACTATGAAATCTATAAATTAGACATTAAAAATTCCTTATTGAATGGTAATTTGGAGGAGGAAATGTACATGATTCAACATCTTGGTTTTGTGCTAAGAGCAAAGAATAAAATGTTCACAAATTGAAGAAATCATTATATGGTCTAAAGCAATCTCCAAGGGCTTGGTTTAGCATATTCCACTAGGCAGTTCAATAAATGGGTTTTAAGTAGTGTCAAACTAACCACACACTCTTTGTTAAAAAAAAAAAAAGGAAGAAGGAAGAACGACAACCTTGATTGCTTATGTGTATGACATTGTTATCATTGTGACTAGGTCTTAGAGATATAAAGGTTAAAAAAGTTCTTGGCTACACAATTTGAGGTGAAGGATCTAGGGCCATTACATTGCTTCCTTGAGATTGAAGTTGTCCACTCTCAACAAAGTATCTTCATCTCTTAAAGGAAGTAAACTCTATATCTGCTGAAAGATACGGGAAAGCTTACAGGCAAACCAATTGACACTCCTATAGATGTGAATCATAAACTCAGGGACGACAATGATGAGCCTATAAACGTTTCAAAACAATACCATAGGTTTATGGGTAGACTCCTTTAGTTATCTATGACTAGGCCTAACATTGCATATGCTGTGAGAGTCCTTAGTCAATCATGCATGCACCCTAGGCAGCACACCTAAAGGCAGCAAATAGGGTTCTCAGATACCTAAAGAAATTCCTAAGAACAAGTATCCTCTTTAAGAAGCATAGAGATATGAGAATTGAGATTTACATTAATGCTAATTGAACCAACTTTGTGAATAACAAGAAATCCACCTGTTGCTACTATTTATAAGAGAAAATCTTGTTACTTGGAGAAGTAAAAAATAAAGTATAATAATCAAATCTAGTATAAAAGCATAATACATGGCCATGTTTCATGGAATTACTAAACTAATGTTAATATAAAATCTATTAGGTAAATTTGGCTTTTCCTTTGATAATCCTATAACTTTCCTTTGATAATCTTATATAACAATAAAAGTTGCTATCAACATAACCAACCCATTGATAGACAAACATTTCATAAGTGTTGATAAAAAATAAATCTATTAGGTGAATTGAACTTTTCCTTTGATAATCTTATATAAGAATAAAGTTTGATAATCCTATATAACAATAAAGTTGATATCTAACATTACAACCAACCTATTTCCTTGATAAAACTAAGGACATTGAGATAGACATACATTTTATCAAGAATACATCAACTAATATTAGAATTGAATTTTGTCCAATCAGAAAGTTAGAATTGAAACATACCATTCCGATTTTGATTATAGAACTTTTTCCACCATGGAGTCTTGGCTCAGCCAAATAAAAGTTTTGACGTGGTCTACAATGACATACAGTACATATTTTTACCCAAAAATTATAAAAAAGAAAAAAGCAAGGTCAAGTCAAAGTCTGCTAGCAAGAAACAAAGGCTAAGCTTTTTCGAGTGGATAATGAATGAAAAGCAGGTTCAATCACCATTTGATTGATAAAAGAAGAACCTTTCTTTTTCATCCTGATGTTAGAAGTTTTATAGGGAAGCAAGCTTCCAGACCTAAAACACTATTTGCAACCATTTGTTTGATTTGATATATAGTAGAAAAAAAAAAAAAAAGTATTACATAGACTGATAGACATTATACCAAACCGAACCAAACAAACCTTACAACTACTGACTTGTGCTGCTGTTTTTTTCACAATTTTATACAGGAAATATCATATGAAAACAGGAAAATCAAACGGCCACTACTGCGCCACGGTAGCTGGTTCTGCCTGATTCCCCCCTTCTTCGCTGAATACTTTGGCGATTCTCTCGGTTGGGACCAACGGCAGATACGCAAACACGGTGTACCCCCTCTCCGCCGTATAACATACGGCCTGATTGTACTTCTCCGAGCAGTAGGCTGCCGTCGGTAACACAACCTGGGCAATCTGAGGAAACAGTGGAAGCTGGTTCAGCGATTTCCATGTCGATACAGCGTAGTGTTCGGCCACCGGCTCGTATTTTGCGTATAGATCCTTGGCGGTGGGCTCGCACTTGGTGTACACCGATTTCGCTATTCCGGTGGCGGTCTCCACCACGCCAGAGCGCTGCACCTCCGAAGCCACGGCTCGAGCCACCTCCGGAGCTTTCTGAGCAGCCGAGAAGGCTTCGCTTGCTGCCCCCTTCACGACCGATGGCAAGTGGCGTTCAAGCTCGCTTACAGAGTCGTCCACCTGCAAGCACGAGAATGCGGAAGCGGAACGAGTCAGTCACAGAGAGCCCATTAGCCCAAGGCCCGAAACACGCGCAATTTCTCGAACTACGGACATGGCGCCGTAGTTCGATAGAATCTCACTCTTGTGTATCAGATGTCAGAACTCCGAAGAGCTTAGTTCATTCGAAACGTTTCAGGCTCCAAAAAAATGCACGCCTAAGCTTATATCAGACGGAGTAGAGAGCAAAAGATTCAAAGAATGAAGTTCGGAGTTGGCTTGAGAAAATAGATCAGGAGGGTTCTTACCTTGCGGTCGACGAACTTGAGAAATTCGAAGGGGACGTCATGGAATTTCTCGTATACAGGGCCAACCACGGTCTTAACGGTACCTTCGACGCTTTGCACGCCGGGTTTCAGAGGACCGGAGTTCTCCTTCGCGTAGTTGTACAGGCTGGAGAAGTACAGTGCGGCGTGGATTACCGCAACTTGGACGAACTCCAGATACTTGAGGTCCTTTTCATGATTTTCGGCCTAAATTCAAACAGGTCCAGGAAACAACTCCCATCAATAAGAACCCTAAAAAGTTTCAAAAGCCCTAGAGAAAACAAAATTGATCCAGAAACAGAATAAAACAGTTGCCACGATCACCACAAAATATGATAACAAAAATTACGCTACGCTCCTTTTCAAAGAAACAAACAAAACTATAATGAAGAAATTACGAGTATCATATGTCTTTCGATCTTCACAAAATAAGCTTAGATCTTCCATTCTGAGAAATATCATAAACAGAATGGAGTAGGGGGCAAGAAAACAGTTGGATCCACATCCTCAGGTTGGATCATAGAAAAGAAAGAGAAAAAAGAAAGCCTCAAATCGAACACTAAAAAAACCCTTTCTTACCATTTCCGGCTGCTGTCTTACATCCTCTCCCGCCATTTTATCTCACTGGTTCAATTCACCAAGCTGTCGACACCGTTTATGTTTCAAACCCTTTGCGGAAACGACTGATCAAAGAATAAATAAACCTACGAAGAAACGCAACCTTTCTTGACAAATCGAAGATTCGAACAGAGAATTTCAGAAGGCTGTGTGGAAGAAGAATCAGTTGAACCGAGTCGTTTTATACAGTAGGGAAAGCAAGAGACGATTCTGCTCGAAATCAGACGGCAAGTACGTAATCGGCTACCCAAGCGGGCCCCAGAAAATCACCGATCCGGTCTAATGAATCAATGTTGACAACTTCGTGATTAAGGAAAAGAATGTGGAAGCACCGTATCGTTTTTGTGACACGTAGAAACCGACAGAAATGGTTCACCCAATTAGGTCCATATGTCTTAAAAATATCGCACATAACTTGACACGTGTCGCCAATCGCCATACGAAATGGAATAGTGAAAGTTTCGAACTCCTACCGGCCAGTGGAGTGACGTCCCACACGGCCACAGTACTACTCATAAATCATATTCGTATCAATGATGTTCAGGAAAACGTTCACACCGTAACGTTCGCGGCAGATGGACTACTTGCCTATCAACAAAAACAAAACCGGAATCCTTGCCGGTGCCCACAGATTAAAGGTTGGCCTTGGTTCATATAGTTCATACCAATCCAGTCGGGAAATATGCGATTAGATGGGTCCTAGTTGGTAAAGAAAAAGAATTAAAAACTACAAGGAGGGTTATTTACATAAATAATAGGATTGGAATAAGAGTAGGGAAAATCTACGATGACGGAAAGATATGGTATAGAAAGAGTTTTGATCTTATTCTTGAATTTTGATAAATGATACTTTATTCGCTATCACATTTATGATTTTAATTTATTGGCCAGTTATTTTTCGGATATCATATCTAGTCGTACTCAAAACAAAATGATTGGAGTAAGGGGGATTTTATAATGCCAATAAAACATGATAGGGGGAAATACTTTTACCAATCATAAACCGCCCTGAAATTTGGATTGCTAGAAACAGGTTGGTGTTTGAAGATGTCTATCGTGATCCCTGTATTTTTCCTGTTTTATGTCACAGGATGATGAAGAAAGTGTAGAAATTTTCTCTTCAGGCTGCGTTTGGAAATAAGTGTGAATGCAACAAAATGTAGATTATAAAATGGTCCATATAAATTGTAAAGTTGGATTAGTTTTGCATTAATAAATTTATCTTCTTACCAAATTGACTTCAGTTGTAATGGATGTAGACACGAATGCAAATTTATTTCTTTTTTATTGATGTATTTTTACATCTTATTATCAATGTAAATATGTATTGGAAAATATATTTTCTGTTATTTGTCAATGCATAAATGTAGTGTTGTCAAATACAGGCAAAAGTGAATCAGAGTGCAAATTTATCCTAAACCGGGATTTACACTCCATTTGGTGCTTTTGTTCTAGCTAAGTGTGGTAGTTGTAAATTTATCTCTGTGGAGTAAGCTGAACTTCATGCTATTTTGGACTGTTGTTTATCGGCTCAGTCCTTGGGTTTAACCTATATTAGCATAGAAAGTGATTCAGTCCTTGGGTTTAACCTATATTAGCATAGAAAGTGATTCAGCTCTCCTGGTGTTTGTCATCTACTATTGGGAATTGGGGTCACTGAAACTTGGAGGATAAGTTCTTAGGCGCATCTGAAGACACTGTTTTTAGAACGTTATTTGCCCCCACTCAATTTCACTGACTTTGCTGTTAGGTTTAGGGATGGCAATTTCACGGGAATTTTCGGGTATCCAATGCGTCCCGACCCTAAGAGGACCCATTTATCAAAACCCTATAGGATTTGGGACGGTTTGGGATTTTAGATTAAAACCCTATAGGGTTTGGGTTTTGACTTTAGTGTATTCGATACTCGATACTCGATACTCGGGATGCAAAAATATGAACCCATTATATTATATATCATGCAAAAATTTATGAATTAGAAGTACTAAGATAATTATTCTATTATTAATATTTTATTTGTATTAATTTCTTGGTATTAAAATCATCATTTGATGTAAATTTTAATTTGATAGATTGTTTATTTCATTTAGTTATAAAATGCTAATTGTAAATATTATTTCTTTTAATTTTTAGTTGGAATTGTTAATCATATATATGTATTGATTGTTTTAATGAACACAAAAGTTAATAAAATCTATTTTATTTCATTAAATAACAAAAAATGCAAGATGACTTAGTAGCTTAAAGTAGTGCTAAGAGATTTGGCCCTATCATTAATTGATTTGGGTTCAAGTCACATTATAAGCATTAAGAAACTTTTTTTAGTAGAAAACGTTTGGTCAAGGGGCTTAATGGGTGAGACGGGTTGGGACGGGTTTAATGGGTTTGGGAAATTTAGAGGAAAAGTTAGATGGATTTGGGACGGGTTTGGAATTAGGGATACATAGGCGGGTTCGGGAATGGGTAGGACAATTTGCACGGGTACCCTGTTAGACAGTTTTGTATGCCCTTAGCTTCAATCAGAATGATGTACTTTATGAGTTTATTGTAAATGAATAAAGATACATATTTGATTCAT